GTAATTAAAATTAATTTTACGAGACCGACTCGAAAAGTATTACGAGTACTCGCACAAGTTTTAATGGTTTCGAATACAAAAAAAACTATAGTAAATGTGGAAGTTAACATACTTGATTTAATAAAAAAAATTGTTACGGACATTATTTTTATTTCGCTCAAAATTTTAAGTACGGTAGAAAGAATTTTCTGAGTTTGAAATCTTCCACCTAAGGAGAATCAGATGAAAAGTACTAAATAACAGATTGAAAATGATACTTGCAAAAAAACATAAGCATACATGAGTTAAAACAATATATTTTGGGACCATATATACAATACTTAGCTTATAAATGCTCAGAGACATAAATAAAGGGAAACTATTAGTCCAATATTTCTCATTGTATTCTACAGAAGCTGTTATCGTTTGAAACTTAAGAGTTTACATTAATTAGGTCTTCTAATGTTTAGCATCTAGAATATAGTATACGGTGACTATATTATTTTGTACATTGGTATCTTGGATAATTAAAAAAAAAATGTTACATAAATTACAATAATGTTTAGTATAATTTTTATATTACAAGTTGTAACCAACTTGAAACTTGTATCTAAAATATTAAGTCAATTTTAACCATGTAGTTTATATTTTGTTATTCCGACAGCGATTAAAATAAAATTCAAAACACAGTAATACATCCAAAAAAAATATTGATAGACAATAAAAATGTTCAATGTTTTAAACATGGTTTACTATAAATTACTAACTCTTTAAGTAAGATTTAATACAAACTCCTATCAGACATCACAGTAATCATCATCATACATTTCCGCCCACACAACATTAACTGTAAACACAAATCGACGTAGCAGTACAACACTATATTTGCAAAAAAGGTTATTTTTATAACTGTATTTGAATCTGTATAGATTATTCAATTGTATAATTTTAAAAATATAAATCTAGTAGCTACTATAAGAATAAAAATATATTTTTAAGCGGTCAATTTAACAAACGAGTTTGCATAATTTCAACAACAGATTTGGACTATATAAATGACCAAGTTTTTACAAAATGGAGAATTAACCTCACCCATCAAATCAATTTTTATAGAAATTTGATACGCATATGCAAAGTGATTGCCCACTCGCTCGATTCTATTAGATGCTTTTAAAATACAATGCAATATGAAATAAAGGTTTACAAACAGGATATTGCTGTCGAAAAAATAAATCTAGTAATTATTTTATGCTTGTACGCCATTTTTAGGGAATATTGAATAATGTATTGAAAAATATGAACGAGATAGGAACAGATAAAAAATCATGTAAATTTATGTCTAAATGTTTTTAAATAAACTTATTAACGAGATTACAAGACACGGTAAAGGTTTTCGATAAATAATGATTGCGCATTTATTGTTATTCAACTAACGAGCATACATCATGAAGATGTATGATAAATTAATAAACGAGTCGTAAAATAAAAAAGTGATAGGATGATTACCCACTCGGTCCATTGTGAAACTTTATAATTATTATTGCATTCTTAACGAATTCAACTAAGAATTTTTCTTATATAATAAACTCTACAATATCAAGAGAATCAAAATGTCATAATTTTATTAAAACACGCTTTCTGATAAATGGTTTGTGTTATTTTTAATTGAATTTAATTTGTATTTAGTGAGACCCACTGGTTTTCGCCGCCATAAAGCTAATAAATATTTGATCTACTAAGACAGCAAGAGTAATAGTTACTTCAAGTGTTACTTACATTGTCAGGCAATCAGTGCTTGAGAAAATTGAAAACACAATAATGAGACGTTCTCACATGAATGGTATTTTAGTGTTTTAATTATGTAACATTCTAATATTAAATCAAAATTATATCGTACTTCAGATAAAATAATAAAAGAATGACCAATTACTTTTGTATTATAATTCAACCTATTATGATCACTTAACAAATTAGACAACAAGTTATACTCATAACAAATCTGTTTTGTTTTTTAAATTCATATTTGATCAAAATTTATTTATTTAAATATCAATTAATAAACAAAAATACTAAGAGTTTTAAAATTTAAACTTTTCTGTTGAAAAATTGTAAAAATCATTTAATAATAGATATGTACCATAAGGTTTGATGATAATAATATAATTTTTATATAAAATACAACCGAATATTTTAAGATTAATAATTATTTCTATGTAAATAAAAGGCTTCAAATCTTGAGTGCATATATATTAGCATCACTATAAATATTAAACAAGCACAATTCTATTGGTAGAATTACATATATTAAGATCAAAACACAATTGTTAAACATAACTTATGTTTAAATTTTCATCAATCTTTAATAAAGTTTTTTATTTATTAATGGTATAATTTAAAAAAATTTAGGTTTGTGCATCAGTTATATGAAAGGTTTTCAGAAATGAAAAAGATTTGTTTAAAATATTTGAAGTGACCCACCAGAATTTTTTGATCCTAACTGCTCCCAGTTAATACATTTTGTAAACCATCATAGTTATTTTCAATTTAACGATTCAAAAATTTCATCTGAATTTCTTTTTGCTAAATCCTTGGTTTTACAAAAAAAAAAAAATCCATTCTTAATTTATATGACATCATATTCAGTCTAAAAGATTTCCCAGTAGCGTTCACAGAAACAATTAAAATAATATCATTGATTCTAACTTTAGTAATCACTACCACCTCAAATGAAAGATTTTTCTCATCACTTAAGAAAATAAAATATTATATTAAGTCAGCTATGGGAGATGAGCGATTAAGTAGCTTATTGGTGGTAAGAGTCTAAAAAAAAGAATCTGCTAATGTCGGCCTAAATGATACAGTGAATTAATTTGTTAAAAAATCGAAGATATGCTTTTATACAAGTTTGTTTTTTATAAATATTTTGTTTTATAATAGTTACTAATATTGATTTTATTGTTTACATGAATATACCAGGTATTTTAATTTTATATTTGATTGAGTTACATCATTAAATTAAAATAGAGAAGGAAAAATATAGCTATATAAATTTATATTATTGTACCTTTAAAAATTCATTAATAGCTATATTTTATTATATGAGAAATAAATTTGGTATGGTATGGTTTATAGGCTAAATGGCCAACCAAAATTTTAGCATAAGAAAAAAAAAATTTTAATGACACCTTGAAAATAAGATATGCTTAATTTCATTAGGTACAGGAATACTATCTAATATATTATTAAATATATCATGACTAAGCCTAAAAATATTTTGTTTTAGAAGTAGGATATCATAGAAGTAGTTTTCATTCAAAAGTAATTATTTTTCATATATAAAAATACATTTAATACTTTCTGGAAGCAATAAAGTTTAATTCATAAAATACAGTTGAGTCCGTTTTCTCTTATATAAGATATTTAAAGCAAAACTACATACTAACCTACTACAAAAAATTTTTTCATATCAATTTAAAATTTAAAAATTACTGTACATGAACTTTACTTCATTATTATCTTTGACTTCAAATATAATAAAATATAAAACAGAAATTCTACTACAGAAATAAATGAATAAAATGTATTAATAAAATTTTTAAATACCTATTATAAAATAATTTCTTATACAATTTTAGAGAATAATATAAAATTGAAAAAACAATCTCAATTTACAATTGGATGACAAATAAGATCAAAAATATTATAGATACAGCTCACGGGTATATAAAAAATAATTAAAATTAATAGTTTTGTTCAATAATAGAAAATATTTTTTTATAAAGCAACATTTTAAAAATCAGAAAAATGAATAAATTAACACTAAGACACCACAATTAGTCTAAAATTCTCAGTTTTTGAAACCAACATAACCTTCATAGCATAGTAATGGAATCCAACCGCAGTACTTTTGTACCAAGACACAGCATATTATATACAGAAGGTTATAAATTTTTAATTTGATAAAAAGAAATATAATTGAGTAATGAGCCAAATTTTATCACCTTTCTATGAAGACTTTAATTAGGTTATTAAATTAATAATGTGCCATGTGCAAGGAATAAAAAAATTAAGTCAATCCAATAGAAATCAAGTTCAAAAATGTATAAAATGTGATAAGTGTCAAGTAATACCAATATATTCGATTAACAATATCGACAAGATAACATATCATGTCACAAATCTAAGATATAGATATTAAAACTAAAAAAAAATATTATAATTCAAAATGAATAGCTTTGTACTTATTAGAGTGCAAAATAATTATGTATTAACATAATTAATTTCTAATCTTAATAAACTTTTATTTTCCAAAAACTGGATCGTTATTAAAATATTAGCAACACCTTGCACAAAAAAATCAGCTCATAACTTTCTCTGAGTTATCTCAAAAGAAAAAAGATCTCTAAGTTTTTTTATCTTCTTAAAAAATTAATTTAACTATTTATTTCAGAGAAATTAATTAAAAAATTACATTATAACCATCAATTTTGACTATTTTGGTATTATTTTTAGACATTACAAACGATTAGGCATTTTTAAAGTATATTAAAAAAAAAATTAATTTTTGATTGATTTTATGTACGGGTTTTGGAATATTTTCATTTTGTTCCAAAACTTATTTAAAAAACTAATTTGACAAACTTTTTGTTACACTGGTGATACTAGAGTAATTTGTTTATAAAAAAAAAATTCTATAATGTTCAAAATTGTTGGATTTATAGTATAAAAAGTAATTTTTGGAATAATAATGTTTTCAATCTCTGATTTATAACTATCATAACTGAATTGAAAAGAAAACTGATATCATTTAAATATTATAATTCCTAGTCATAGATTGAAATAATATTAACTCATAGTGATAATTTAAAATGATAAAGACAAATTATTATTTTTTTGTGATTTTAAAATACACATGAGATTTATTTAACTAGATTTATAATTATACAAAATAAAAATAAAAACCTCTGTGTAAGTTATCTCACATAATCCTAAGATTAAGATTACAAAAATGTAAAACTTACTGTGCTTATAACTGATGCTGAAGTATCATTTTTTTGAGCACATAATAGCTAGTTTACTAAGGTATCCTATTGATTCTGTTATGCACACCATACACAAATCAAAACGAACATAAAATACTGTTTTTAGAAACTAATTTTTCATAAACCGTTGTTTGCGCACGACGACCATGTAAACACACGAAACAGCGACACCGAGTTCGATGCGCCCGGACGACGTTACAGCTTGTGCTGTGAATAGTGTTCCGAATAAAACGCTCTTATACCCTAACGGCAACGCTAAGAACAACTATTGGGTATTAATTGGACAGCAACGCTATCTCACCGCAATTTATTGCACGCTGAACATATGAGAGAGGACCTATGTTCTCCGTTAATCATGTTTTAATTAAATAAGAAAAGATTTGTCTAGCATTCGATCTTTCCTATAAGAAAATTGTACATGGAAGCAACTCATAGAGAATCATAGAACGAGTTCATTCTCTAAAAATTGCCAAATTTATTAACATGGAAATCGACAAGCGTGAATTACAGAAGTATTTTAGTTAAAATAGATTTTTTTACTACTCGATTGTGCAAACATAAAGTGTCAGTGGTATTTAGAAAGGATTCTAAAAGAGCTAAAGCCACCACTATTGAACAAGCTAAAATTACAAATTAGGTAAAAAAAACCCCACTAAAAAAGGGTTATTAATATTTTTTGGGTATTAGCCTCATTTAAAAATCTTGAGTACGCCACTTAAAAAAAAAAGAGTAATTCATACTATGACGCGAAACCAAAGGGTGGGGAATAGGAGTAACGCACTATCAAAAATAAATTTTTTATGAAAAATGACTTTTCTAAGATAGCTCTATAAAAATTATATTAAGCATACTTCAAAAACTTCTGAATCCACGCCTGTTAATTTAAATTGATTATATAGAATATTTAAAATTTGTATAGTCAAATGTCATACACTAATTTAGTAATAATATTTAAGTTTTCATTTAATTAATTAAATTCATTTAATTTTTAGTATTAAATAGGCAATTTATTTAAAGTCAAAAGTTAAATAAATTTTAATTTTACATAATTGGTAATATTATTTAAAAAATGTACAATAAATTCGAACAAAAAAACTTAATACAAAAACTGACCATATTAATACGAGTTCATAACAAATTCATAAAGTAAATAAATAAAAATGAATATTTCTACATTTGGAACAAAAAACATAATATAACAAAATGAGTAATAAAAACAACAAATTGTTTAATCTTACAAAGTAACTATATATAACCATTGATTATTACATAATTAACAAAAATGTTCATTCTAAAATATATGAATGAATTGAAAAAATAAAATTTACATACACTTACTCAAACTTAATTTTATAATAAGCACGCAATATGAGGAAATTTTATAATTATACATTAAATGGAAATTTTTTAAAATTTTATTATATATAGTTTACTCTTTTTTAATCAAACGTGATACATTGATATTATTTTTAAAAAGTACTATATTGTGACCAACAATATCATTGTGGGCAGTTATGATCATATCAAATTCAGTTTTACCACCATCACATAGTTTTCTTAGTTTACTTGAACTATATGAAATTTCGTCTAAACCAAGAGAACCATGCATCATCATTGTTTTTAGATCTTGAATACATTTTGGTAAACCAAATAATGCATGAACAGCTGATACTTCACCACACATATCAACTAAAATTACATCCATCAATTTTTTTGGACAAATTTTAACTAACCTAACTCGTACCCAAAATCCATTTATATTTGCTGCATACATTTTACCTATTTTTGGTTTAGAGACTATACTTAAAGATTTAGCACTAGCAAGTTCACATAAAACTTTACATCTACCTGGTGTCATAACCTGTAATGTTAATGCATTAATATGTGACACCTGAGTGACGACAACAGGATAAGGTTTTATTATATCAATAAGAGATAAACCATCTATAAAGATATCTACTAGACAAGGTTCATTTCCTTTTAACACAGACATTGTAACAGATTGATTACAGCTCAGAGACATCTCATCAATAAAGCTATTCAATAAACTATTATTACAAAGCATTTTTATATTATTGGATATATTAAGTTTACATCGTATAATAGTAGGAGGTGTAGACTTAAGAAAACTGTTAGCTTCATAAATATCTGTACAGGTTCCCTTAATTCCATAATCAATAAAATAGCAAAAATATAAACCATCGTCATGAGTATTTAAGATTCTTATTCTATACCAGTTATTATCATCTACACTTTTTCCTACTGCTACTTCTCCATATTTTATATCAATAAGAGGATTCCATAGTTGTTCACTATAAAATTCTTGATCAATTTTTAATTTTAGTTCTTTTAAAAGATTTGTTTGGGCATAAAACTCATTGAATGTTTTAATATGTACAAGAGTGACAGGTTCCTTGATAAAATCTTCATTAGTTTTTTTTGGTTCTTCATTCATAAGTGGAGTAATACCAAACTCTATGACATTATTTAGTATTTCTTTTAAGTTTCTATTATTCCACACTATTTTTACCAAATAAGGTGATGAGTTACTAATAAACTCTAATTCTATTTCATTTGAAATCATAAATTCATGAATAACTTCAAAAACACTATTATTTTCAAATAATACTTTTTCTTCAGAATCAACATCATCAAGAATGCAATGATAAATTACTGGTTTTATATTTATTAGTTTTTCTGGTAGTTGTCTAATATTTGAAGATTTATCGGAATTCCCATAGTCAATAAATTGAACTGTGGTATAACTCTCTTGAATATCTCGAACCTTAGCTCTATACCACAAACTATCATCATCATATTGAGCTGCTACTAAATCCCCAACTTTAATACAGTTTAATGGCACGAGATCATTTTTAACTAGTTCAAATGATGATGAAATGTCTTGGATTACTTTTAAGTCATTTGAATTATAAACATAAAAATCTTTTAATGAATTAAAGTATGATATTTTAGCTTTCAATTTTTCACCTATCATATTGGTTAAATCAAGACTTTCATTGCAAAGAAATTTGGTTTTTCACTTACAATTGTAAATTTTAGTATTCTGTTGAATGTCATAGAATGCTTTCAAAAAAATTAAATGAACCAATTTATGTCAAAAAGGATTCAGATGAGCCCTGAAATAAAATTTAAAAATGATTAGTAAAATAGTAATGTATGCAAAATTTCTATACACAGAAAAATCAATTTTGTATAGACATTAATTATATAAAAAATTTTTTTTTAATTTTGAGAAGAGAAAAATTATTTGATTCAAAAAACTATAATATAATACAGTCAAATAATAATTTTTCTTCATCTCTTAAGCATAAAAACCTTGACTTTAATTTTCTTAAATGTAAACCCTGCCCCTGATTTATCTTCATTATATTAGAACAAAATAATTTGAAAATTTTTTGTCTATCATATCATACACAAAAGATGATGAGATAATGTTTTTTTTTTTTATAAAAATTAAAAATGTTTAAGTTTCTGAGAAAATGAGTGTCGTACCCAAAAACAGTAGATATATACTGTTATATAATACATGCTCTGCTAATATCACTTTACACAAAATAAAATACTACATTTAGAACACTTAAATTTTTTAATTTATATAATTCTTGAGCAACTAAACTGTTTTTATCAAATTATGTTTAATTATTATCATTTTAAAGATTATAAAAATATTAAATTTAGAAACTAAAACATCAAATCACTTAGTATGACTCTCTTTATTGAAAAGGAAATATAAATATGTATATATTGATATGTATATATATGTATAAACGCTCTCTCAATAATACTTAGTTTTTTGGTTACATTTACTTTTATAAAAATTTAACTGTCTTATATTAATTATATATTATATTTATCTTATAAATCTTAATTTATTGTCATCATTATTTTGTTGTCATAGTTTCTTACTCTATGTTTTACATATATGCATGTACATTATTTTTTTTTTCTCTTCTTTTTGTTATATTATGTTATATATTTAGGTTACCATAATATTATTCCTGTAAATTGCCGTTTGGCGTTAAATAATTAAAATAAAAAAAAATATATAAGAGCTTACAAAACGAGTTACAGATTAAAAAAAAACTTTCAATACTTCATAAATTAGCAAATATATATATATGGAAAAAAATAATACTCATTCTGATTTTCGACGTTTAAATTAAGTTTCAATTTTTCAATGAATAAAAAAAATTAAAGACAAAATAAAATTAACTACTTACTTATAAGAATAAAAAACATTTTAATCACTCTTGAAAATTGTTAAGTTAGGTAACGAAATTAAATTAATATTATAGCTAAGATAATATTTTGAAAAAAATAAGGAGTATGCAAAACTTGTTCGCATTTGGATTAAATAAAACTTTAAATTTAACAGTAAAAAACTTGAATTTACAGCAGACATGTTATGTTATCACATTTCTTATCAATATTCAACAGAGAATCAAAAATTTACAAGGGACCACGTGTACCAGTGTAGACAATTACAAAGCAATAAAAATTGTAATAAAATAATTCACTTGAATTAATTAACATGAAAAATAACTAAAATATGTGTTTTACAATAGTTATCAAAATCCTACATAAATAGTAGACAAACCAATGAATTTAAACATAAAATTTACGTTTCGTTGTTTAATTTTCAATCATATGATGACGTTATATTCCTCTTTAAAAAATAATTATTTCTATTGATACAAGATAATCATTAATTGTAACGTCACTGACTATATGAAAATCATGTGGTCTGTAATGATAATAACCATGTTGCACTTATCAATAGCGTTTTATACACCTTGTAATATTATCACAAAATAGCGCTTTATGTTTGGATTATTTCCTTATTTATGGAGTTATCTCGCGGGCTTTTTCTTACATTATTTAACTTTTGGTAATAATTACATTTAGATATTAGAGCGATAGTTTAACAAGTTAAACTCTATAATAACGTCAAATATTGCTAACTTGTTACGTACTGTTAAATTGTTTTTCATTATTATTGAAATTTCTTTTTTAATTATTTCCTGCAATACTTCAAAAAAATTAGTTATGGCGACTTCTGTAGCTACGAATCCTTCTACCTTACTTCCTCTAGGTAAGCTACATTTTATTATTTTATAATATGTTCAATAATGTTAAATATACTAGTTCGTTCATACTACTTAGAAGTTCATTTACATAGTAGTATATTAAGAATTTAAGCGCGGTATTTCCTCCTAAAAGTTTTTATTGAACCAAAAAAATTGTTCTTTTTAGCTTACCCAAAAAAAAATTTGCATACAATACTTAAAATACGCATAAAAATTAATTTTTTGATATAATGCGAAAATATTCAATTCATACCTAATAATAATCTTTGGATTTATTATTGCAAACATAAGTATATAATATTTTGGCCTCTACATAGTGGTGCCATTCTCTGTACAGATTAACACGCTTCTTCAAAGAATTTCTGTATTTTAAAAAAAACAATTCTTAATTAATTATTTATTCTTAGCTTTATTAATAATGAGCCTGAAAGATCAAAATAACTTAAGAGATGGAAACTAATAAGCTTAATTTTCTTTATCATGTATTAGATATAAAATTTGATATTGGCGTTACTGTAACCACACAGATTTTTCTCAATGACGCTCAGGAATCTTTGATATAAACAAAATAATATTAATGATATCACAATTTAATTTTATAAACATATTAAATTATATTTAAATTTCATGTTAAATTTTAATTTAATTATTTAATCTGTTTTAGAACTTGTAGATAAATGCATTGGTTCTCGAATACACATTGTAATGAAAAATGACAAGGAAATTGTAGGAACATTATTAGGATTTGATGATTTTGTTAATATGCTTTTAGAAGATGTAACCGAGTATGAGTCAACACCAGAAGGCCGACGTGTTACAAAGTTGGATCAAATATTATTGAACGGAAATAATATTACTATGGTAACGTTTATTAAGTATATTTTAAAAACTAAAAGTTAAAAAATTAAATATTGTAAATACAAAAAGCTAATTAAATTTTTTCTCTATGAATTTAATGATATAATATTATAATTATTTTAATAATTGTATATAAATAATATTTAATCAAAATATTTATATTTTCAGTTGGTTCCTGGAGGAGAAATGCCTGGTGAATAATTCAAATCATTTAAATGACACTTATCATTTTTTGTATAATATAACTACTATTACTTCATTTAAACTTAAATATTTGGTAAATATAAGTTTCAATTTATTAGAAATGTATGTATTTTTTATTTACTTTATATTTAATGAGCTCCTCTTATTATCATTAATATACCAAGAAAAAATTATTTTTTTCTTTTTAAGTGTAAAAAACTATTACTATAGAAAGAAAATGAAAGAAGTATAATTTTTTATTTCAGATAAAATATAAAATTAAGGTCTAATTGACTTTTATGCATTAGATAAATAATAATAATTTAGATTAACTAATCTAAAATAATTTGATAAATAATCAATCCTGGTTCAAATTTTGAGGCAATTCCTTTCTAAAATAGTTTTAAAATCTAATTTTAATGTAACAAAAGTATAATTTATTTATGAAAATAGTTTAACAATGACATACAGTGCCCCGTCAAGTTTTGATAGCTTTAATTATTCTTGATCTAGTTAATACATAGTTACTTTTTTTTATAATTTTTACTATTTTGTAATATGTTATAGGCGTATATTTTTATTGTTTGACTAATAAGACAAAATTAAAACTTCTATGAAATTTCAAAATAGTAGTTTTTTTATAAACAATTCTGATGGGTTAACAAAAATTAGAATAAATAATTATTTAGTTACAAGCATTTTAGTACTTAATCTATGAATTGAAATTTTTATTACTTATTAATTACTAATTCTAAAGTTGTTATTGATCCACAAACATATTTTGTAAAATAAATAACTTTGTTTATAAAACATTATTTTTTTTTTTTTATTAAAGACAAAAAAAATATATATAATAAATATATTGTCCAAAACTGTAGAAATTATTTAAAATAAAAAGTAACACAAAATATTTACTAGATCAATAGTTTTTAAAGATATCAAAAACCAAGTGGAACATGTGTATAGTTCAAACTACGATTATAGATATAATCTAACTATTTTCATCCCAGTCATGTTTAATAATAATTAAATACTGCTATACGAACAGAATAGATAAATGAAACATTTAAAATCATGAGCTCATGATGAATTATTTAGTCCGTGTCACGAACTAAGATAAAATAGACTAGAGAGTGTGCAATGAACACGAGTCCTTATCAAACGATCTGGTTTTGTTGTAAAACTTTTGCCGTAAAATGGACAATTTTGAAGTAATGGACAGACATTAAACACTTCTTATTAAAGAGGCTTACACACTAGGCGTTTAATCGCGCGCGTACGCGTTTTTAAAAACGCGGCAATTATTTGTTTTATATAAAACACCCGCATTTAAATTAAACCGTGCACACCATAAGTAAAAACATGCGTTCGGACGCGACCGATCGAGCAGGTTTGATTTTGGGCGATCGGTCGTGACACAGAAAATTTTAATTTTTAATTAATTCCATATATTTGGAAGAGTCAATTTGGAATACAAGTACTTACAGGTAATTTGAAATTTTTTATTTTAACTTTTTGTGGGAAGTATTAATATAATAAAAACAAAATGGACAAATTTATGGGTTCATATTATGTATATGAGGTTCTTATACGTTTTATTAATTGTTTGAAATTAGTTGATCAATTAAATTTATAATTTCAACTAGAAACATTTTGTGATCTTTTCACTTGTCGTTAAGCAATATCAGTCAAGTGGGAGCTGAGAAAAAATGGTAACAGCCACAAAAAAAAAATTAAAATTTTTTTTACATTCCTATGAATACATATTTTTTTATAATTAGGTCCACCTTAGTTTTTTTAAATTATACTCACAATACATAATATCTTTATAACATAGCTATTTTAGCAAACATTGTCATAGTTTTAACATATTATTTCGATTTCAACAAGGGCAGTCCTACAGATAATTTTTAGGAGGGTGTGGATTGAATTTTGCCAACTGTTAGTGATAAATTTGCCGACTAAATTATTTTAATGAGTCAAAGTCCACATTATTAGCGAATACTTAATACTTTTTTAAATACATTCAAACANCAACAAGGGCAGTCCTACAGATAATTTTTAGGAGGGTGTGGATTGAATTTTGCCAACTGTTAGTGATAAATTTGCCGACTAAATTATTTTAATGAGTCAAAGTCCACATTATTAACGAATACTTAATACTTTTTTTAATTTCTGTGGAGATTATAACAAAAGTTTGTGTGCATAAAAGTATATAAATAATATTTTATAAACTTTTTGAGAAAAGTATTTGGGTAGTTTTTTTCAATAATTTAATAATTTAAGTAATAATAATTATTATTTGTAAAGAAAACTTTTTATCGGTGTATTTTTAAGAATCCAAAAGTATCGCGATAAAATTTCAAAATATGTTAACTGGTGCAAAATAGCTACAAGTTTTGTTCCAAATTTCGTAGATTTGGACGAGAAAACAAAACAAACCAAGAGTAAGAAAACATTTAATATATTTTTTATTTACATAATTTTAATTTATAAAATGTTGAAATTTGGTGAAAATCGCTATAGTATAAAAATTATATAGATATACTTAACCTATAACTTTATTTTGCCAACTTAAAGAATGTTCCACTGAGTTGACGTATCACACATAATATTCTCTAAGTTCTTTTGCTTCTGATGGCGCGTTTCCAACACTTTTTTTTCATTAAATTTTCCATTTTACAGTTAAGGGTATCTTCGGAATTATATCCATCTCTGCGTCGCACAAAATTATGTAGAACACATGCTGCCTTTCTTATTTTTATTGCAAAATCCGGAGAAGCCAATATAGAGGTATGGAATATCTTCCATTTGTTTGAAAAGATTCCAAACGAGCACTCAATATTTTGCTGAGCTCTTGATAAACGATAATTAAAAATCCTCTTTTCGTTATTTAACGATTTTCCTGGAAAAGGCCTCAACAAATGTTTGTTTAAAGCGAAAAGCTTCATCTCCAACAATTACGTAGGGTTGGGGTGTTCCTTTTTTGTTTTCGGGTAATACATTTTCAGATGGGAAATTGATTTGATTCGCATAGAGCTTTTTACTGAATGCTGAATTTTTAAAGATATTACAGTCGCTAACTTTTCCAAAAGATCATACGTCAATAATTCGGAAACAATAGTTGGCGTCACAAACAGTAAGAAGTACAATAGAATAAAAATGTTTGTAATTAAAGTATAGGGTTCCACTCTTTTTGGGGCATTCAATCCGAACATGTTTTTCATCTACTGCACCAACGCAATTAGAAAATTGTGTTTTTTTATAAAAACCATCAGCGATGATTAGCCAATCTTCGATGCTCGTTACAGTCATTTCTACAGGTTGTAACTCTGACCAAAGTATCTCACAAGTCTCTCGTATAATGTTTCTTATGGTTGAAAGACCCATTAAAAAATCAAAATGAAGAGCTGAAAAGTTTGTTCCCGTTGCTAAATATCTGAGAAACAAAAAAATAATAATTCCTAAGGAAAAATACTATTTTCATAATTTTCTAGTTAAAAAAATTGGACTATTATCTCAAAAAGTAATTCCAAATGTTTTAATTTAATTGCAGTAAAAGGTTTAAACACTAAATGGAAATCTCTCAGAGATAGTTACAGAAGAAAATGTGTTTCAAAATTAGGTCAGGCAAGGTCAAGCAAAACTAAATACGCATATAGTGATATATTAGAATTCTTACGTCCTACTATGACAAATGGAGAGTAAGATTTTTTTTTTTGCTATTGCTTTTAAATAAATAAGTGAATAATATTGTAAAAAGCTATCAAAATTTATCATAAATTTTACTTCAAGGTATTTGAAATAACAAACGTAATATGATTTTATATTCAATTTGTAGAACAGAAAGTAATTTTACACAAAAAAATGAATATAATGAAAGTGATAATGATGAAATAAATATGGAAGAATACTCGACTGATGATGGAGAAGGCGTCATTGTAAAAGACAATATTGAATAAAAAAATAGTATAACTGTTCAAAAGTCAAATGTTATACCTAAAACAGTGAAACGTTAAAAGAAGAACTTGGAAGAAGGACATTAATTAAAAGACTTGGAAAATCACCTTGTATCTTTCTTAAAAAACAGAAAACCCGAGGAAAATTATTCTGATAAACTATTTCTTCTTTCCTTACTACCACAAATCAAAAATATTCCCGAAGACCAGAAACCTCAATTGCATATTGACATATTAATAACTATCCAAAAAGCTAATTTAGGTAATCATCAAGTTGCTTATTATTATCAAAAACAACATGGTTTAAGCAATATTAATAATTTTCAAATGTCAACTCCTCATAGTCATTCCCTAGCTCTTCATCCTCCTTCTCACAGAACACTCAATATTCAAATTTCCAAAATTATCTCCCTTCAAAAGATATTCCATCAATTTTTCAAAAAACCATTATATATATGATGTCCCCTTCACCGCCTGTTGTAGATCCAAGATCCGACACACCATTAAACTCAACTCCTTCTCACTTACAAACACCAAATACAGAGTCTTCATTTACTAGATAATAAAATTTACATTAAAATTTTCTTTTTTTTACCTCAATGTAACTGTATGTCGCTCTTCTGGTGGTATTGATAATCGTAAACAAGTATCCTCTTTTTGAAGTTTTGATCCAACTAATAGAATCTTTAAATGTTAGATAATTCATATATATTTTTAAATTTAATATTATATGAGATTTTATTTAATTATTTCATCCATTACATTACTTAAAATACTTAACAAAATAATTTAAAATCTTTTTGAAATATATATTTTTTATATTGATCTAGACTAAAGTTTATAGATCTAATTTTTGGCCAAACTCAAAAAACTTAAAGTTTTAACTTAAAATCTACTTGAAATTCTTTATTCAGCTATATGGTCCAGTGGGATAACTGTGAATAGGGATCATTGTAAAAAAGACTGCCATTTTGAACCAAATTAACAAACATAAATTTGAATAAAAATATTTAAGTAAACAATTTTTCTTTAATAAATGATATTGGTAAAATTATTTTTGAGTTTTTTAAATGTCTTACAAACTTTTCCTGATTAATTGGGTTTAATGTAAATTCCTTTAAAATAAAAATACAAAATTTAATTTTTTTTACAAAATTCAATGTCCTAGAAATATAATTTGTTAATTATGTTTAATATTCGTCAGTCTTTTTACGATTTTTACAAATACTCCATTTACCATAAAAAAAATTATAGTTTATAAATGTGTGTTTTAATGTTTTATAATCATCCAGGAAATACTTAAATTGCCTTTTTATGGCAAATATATATATATATATATATGTATATATTTATATATATATATTTAGGTCTAGTAGTAAAATTAAAATAAAATGTTTTTTTTTTATAAAACAAACAAAAACTATTTTTGAATATATTTTGTTCTGTACGTGCAAGATAATAACTAAAAAACTTAAAAATTGAACAAACTAGTGTTGAATTATGTTATTGATTTAAATTAATGATTGTAAATTAATGAATTAAAAATCTTTCTAGCAGTTTAATTTTATTATTACACAATTGCATACGCAGTGGTGTTTTCGGGGTATTTGCGGTATACTTATTAACTATTGTTTTAATAAACGTATAACCAGGCCCGCATTTAGGGGGGGGCATTGGGGGCATTTGCCCCGGGCGGCAAAAATCTTAATAGGTATACAATTTTTAAAAATTAATTATTTTTATTTAATTTAAAATTTTTTCAAACAGAACAATTTATTTTTATGAAACAAAAATATCTATTTCTAAAAAAAAAATATTACTTTATTATTTTCTAATTTAAAACGTGTACAAAGATATAAATGTAAAAGAAGATATATCAAAGCTGTATAACAACATAGACTACAGTTAGTAGTTAGATAATAGTATTGATTATACATAGTAATTTTTATAATCAACAGCACTATAAATAAAGTAGGCGGCAATTTATTTGATTCATGTTTTTATCTAATTTTAACAAAGTATTGATATTTTCTCCCTTAAACTGGTTTTATGGATGTCGTCGGCCGTTGATAGTCGATTATTATTGGAATACTAAGAAAGTTAAAACACAATAATTTGTCTCATTTTTCACAAAATTACTATCTAATAATGTCACACTAATAATGTGTTGTGTACAGACAGCTCATTGTGTTTAGTACTCGACTACAAGTGACCGAGTTAATATGTTGAGGTGTTTTTTTTTATTTGTATATTTTATTATTTATTAACGTATTAAAATGAGAGATGGCAGAAAACGTTTAAGTGGAAGTGCTTATAAAAAAGTTGCTAAATTAAAATTAGAAAAAGAACAAAAAGTCATTTCTCAAACCGCAAAATTAACTTCATTTTTTAGCAATCAATCTCCAATTCGCCAAGTGAAATAGAGACTACAGCTGAACAGATTTTAAATGAGTCTAGTGATAAAAAGTAATTTAAAAATCAAATGTTAACTTTTGTACGTTATTTCAGTTTTATATAAATGAAAAATTTTATAATTTTTTAGTGAACATCCTCTACATAGTACTTTTGAAACCATGGCAAATGAAAATCAATTAATTGAATATTCGGAATTATTAAATACGCCAACTAAAAAACCCAATCCAACACTTTTGGGGGGCGGCAAAATTAAGTGCACCGGGCGGCAAAATTCCTAAATGCGGCCCTGTGTATACCTTAGAAAAATAATATTTATATTGTAAAGTATAAGCTTAAAAATAATAATACACCCTAAAATAAAAGAATGGATTTAATGAAAATACCACTTCAAATACATGTCAGTATTAGTCGTGAAGTACTAAGTACTCAGTCTTGAAGGAATGTACAAAAGAAATTGTTTATTCCCCCCTCAAAAAATTGGATTTTCACAGGGTAATTATTATTAGTGAGGTAATCCTTCCTCATAATGACGCCCTTGAATATAAACCTGCATTGTTCAAATCAATGAATGTTTTTTAATTTTACAGCTAATAATTTTAAAATACAGTAAATAACTCAACTTACCAATTCATCAAACGAGCGTATAGACATACGGTAGTACCTAAAGAATTCTTCGGGATAACTCCTCAAAGTTAAAAAATTAACTCGAAATTGACCATCTCGAGGTCTTTTTAAATTTAGGGGGTGAACTCAATGTCTACGAAGACTTGTTTTTTTTATTTTATGTTTTTTTGTACAACGAAGATACATGGCGTATACAACGCATGCAACTTCTACATCATCTAATGTCTCCATACTTATTTTAACTTATTTTTTACTTTAAAAAATAAAAAAATAATCAGAGCAAATCCACGAGGAATTTCGAAACTGTTATGATTATACTGTAGCTTTTGGCGGGCTAATTTTCTATGTAAAAACGCGTCAAAACGCTTGCAGTATGCACATGAACGGCGTTGGCGTTTTTAAAAGCCATTTTATTGTAGGTAATGATATTATTACGACTGAAATATAACAAATAAAAATTAATTTTTTTTTTTTAAACAAGCAATTATCTCATAAATGTATTCATTAAACATGCTTAATACTTATATGTATCTATAAAAACATGATTGTCGTTCGAGCTCAATTTTTGCCGAGTATTTCACCTTTTTTTGGAATTTCTATAAAAAAAAAATATCGCACTCAGGTTCACACTGACCTTTTAGAAAATCCAATTTTATATTCTATTAATTATAGTAAACAATTTGTAACGTAGATAGCGCTCGCTCTTTATACTCGTTTTCACAAATTACATGTGAATATGTTCATTGTTTGTGAATAATCCATACCACAAACTAAAATATAATAGACTAGTCACAACATGTTTGGCGGGAACGGGTAGTATGATATGGTTTTAATACAAAAATTTTGTAGAAAAGTGAATATTCGGCAACATTCATTACACCTTGACATAAACAAACATGCAAGCAGGAATCCAAAATAACATTGTAAAGAAAATAGAACTATATAGTCAATATTTATAGCAGGATAATTTAATCACAAATGTATTATAATATATAATATATATCTGTGGTTACAATACTTCTATGTAGTACCTGTTTAGTATGAACAGAGAAGCGCATAATGGACCCATCGGTCTGAGTGCATGAACAGTTCTTGCCTTCTTCTCAAAAAATTTAAATTAACAGAAAATTAAATCTGGGGAACATGTGCAGAAAAGTATTGATAATGTTATTTTCATAGAGTAAATGAATAATATTACTCTATATCCTATTTTCGTATTACTTTATATTAGTAATATTTCTCAATCGTTATTAAGTAGTAACGAAAAATTTGTTTAACGGCACTATTAATTGATAACACAATGTTCTTGATAACGCATGTAATTATTGGTTTGTAATCCATTTTATCACAGACAAGATAACTTTTATCTTAATTCATGTTTATACCATGCGTAAAATGTACACCAGGTTGTAATAGAGATACATCTAATAACATAGTCAATTTATGAAAATACTCTGTCTAAGGTTGAATTGTTTGCTTAATAAACTTAATTCTATATTTTTGTACCATTTATTAAGTAAGTAAAATTACAAAAAAAAGTATTCAGTTATCTTAAATATTTTTCTTTGTTAAAAAAAGGTTACTTAACTATGTAATTTTGATACAGACATAAATGATTTAATAATTTTTTTGTTCATAAAAGATAAATTTAATTTTTAAGTTACTAAGTATGTAAATAATTTTATGAGCAAAGAAAAAAATTTGAATACCATACATTTCTTTATATGAAAACTAAAATATAATATTTTTTTCTATTAATAATTTCCTTTATACTGATTTATTTAGTTTAAAAAATTAATTTATGTTCCTAATTTCCTATCTTTTAAAAGTTTAAATGACTAATTGTGTTTTAATATGAAAGACCATACCAAATAGTTAAATAGAAAAAATGTGTTAATTAAAAACAACATAATTGTTTGAGGTTTGATGGCTATACTAGTATGTAATGGATAATCCCTACCATTGATTTTTACAATACTTATTAATATGTAACACAACTTATTCCATGTTACCTGTCTTCTCAAAAAATAGGTTTCATTACTGTAATTACTTTGGGGTTTATGGTTAGACTGTTAGAATAAATATTTGGTTATTTTAATTACTCATAAAATGTTTTCATGGAATAAGATTTGTTCTTTTCTTTTACCTTAAATGTTTATAAATTCAAAACAAATCAAACTTGAATTTTTATAATGAAATTTTTTTATCTTGAAAAAATCAAATAATTGTACTTTAATTTGAGACTCGAGAATAAATTTAGTCAGCATATTTATCAAGGAGTATTATTTAACCTCCCAATGAGACCGCCTGTGTAACATTAAAAACAAAATATTTAAAAACTGAGCATTAGTAGAAACTCATAAAAAATAAACACTGCATAATAAAATTAATACTTTCTCAGTTATAATCAAGCTAATATTTAAGTATAATAATTGTCTATTAAGTTATATTTATTTAATAAAATAGTATCAATTAATTTTTTTATTCTAGAATGTCATCTTGGAAAAAGGCCTCTAAAATAAATCAAAAAACTCATAGAGAACGACACCAACCAGATGTTCGTCAAAAATTTGGTTTATTAGAGAAGAAAAAAGACTATAAAGTTCGAGCTAGACATCATCAAGAGCGTAATCGAGTACTCAAGCTTTTAAAAAAACGTGCTCAAAATCGTAACCCAGACGAATTTTATTTTCATATGGTGAAATCAAAGGTTGAAGATGGCAGACATACAGATATACGTGAAGAAGATGAACATACTGAAGACCAAATTAAGCTAATGCAAACCAGAGATTTAAAATATATTAATATGAGGGCTACTATGGAAAGAAAGAAGGTTGAACGTCTACAATCAGAATTACATTTTCTAGATGACGCAAATAAAGTACAAAATAATCACATATTTTTCGAAGATGATGAAAAAAGTTCAGCTAATTTGGCAGAAAAATTAAAAACTCATCCTGCATTAATTAATCGTAAAACTAACCGCCTAAGGATAACTGATTTAGAAAAAATTGAATTACCTGATTTAGATGAAGATACAATCAAAGAAATGGTTAGTGTAAAACGAAAGGCATACAGAGAACTCGAAAGAAGAAAGAATAGAGAAAAAGAATTAGCAATTGTACAAAGAAAATTAGAGATCAAAACTCATTTACTAGGATCTAAGCATGAACCACCGAAGAGGATAAAACCAGCTACTAAAAATTCTGCCCCAATATATCAATGGAAATATGAAAGAAAAAAATAATTGATTTCTTAAATAACTGTTTTAATTTAAGCAATATTACTACATTATAAACAAATATATAATTAATGTAACAACTTAAAGTATCTGTTCAATTTTTCAGATATCCTCAAAAATAATTTTCATTTCAATTTTTTATATTTTACGTACCAAGTACTTAGGTATAAAATCAATATTTTCATGCTTACTCATAAAGCAATCTTCAACAGAAAAATCTGAAACAATAAAAAGTTAGGTAAAAAAACATTCTTTATATTAATATAACATTTCCCTCTCCACAGCAATGAACTAATCATCCATCCCAGAATATGGAAGGTTAGAAACTTTCTTCTAAAGGGAGGCCGCTTAATAGGCTAATAAAGCATAAAAAAAAAAATAAATAAAATATTTTTAACCCTGTTCAAATTACAACAAACTTTAAATACTTTTAACAATTTATGAAATTATCAATTGACTTAATCAAAATGACTTATAAATGTTTTAGAAATGTATTTCAAATAATTTTAAACGTATTCTGACCTCATTTTTGAAAAAAAGTGGGTGTTTAATTAACTTATGGTGTATATATTAATATTTAATGATTGTAGCAAGATTTTATTGAGATATTTTACGTATATAAATATATAAAGTTATCAATTTAAATTAATATATTTTTACAAAAATTCAAACAATTTTAGAAAAAATATATATTAACTTGGGATTTTTTAAAAAATTTTTAAACTACTCACTAATTCTGTGGTAATTCCGAAACAATGTACTCCTTTTGAGACATTTTAATGTTATGATTTAAAATTTAATTTTAATTTAAAATTATTTATTAAAATATTACATACTTATAGACTCAAACTTATTTAATGGTTCCTGTAATTTCTTGTATCGTTCATCTTTATTGCCAACAAATATTTTTTTAGTAAGTAATGTCTTTTTTTTGGAATTTTGTAATGTAATACGTATCTAAAAAATAATTTAACTGTTTAATTTTTTTAAACATTTTGTACATAATAAATTATTATAACCCAAACACTGGCTTATAAAGGATCTAACAGAAAAGTAATGATTCTATAAATTTATATCATAATTATTGATTTATTAATATATATTATAAATTATCTGGACACCAAATTTTTTGTTTATTGTCAAATATGACTTTATGGATGATATACTTTAAGTATATCTGTTGATTAAGTAAAAATTAACAATAAATTGTTATCTGCATATCAGTGAATAGCGACATACAAAAACAATTAGCTATCTGTATTTGTAATCCCTCATGTATTATACATACATATTAACTCAAAAATTTGAAACTTTTAAGTTCTCTATCTGATAAACAAATAAAGTTATGTTAAAAATTCTAATACCATTAACTATAAATAAAACCTCAAACATTTAATTAAAATCAAATTATATGTTGTCATTTGAAAAAAGCAATATTCACACCCTCAAAAGGTATAAAATATGAACTAAAAAAGTACTACATAGCTAATAATATTTAATTATTGATAACAAAAAAAAAAAATTCAAAATTATTATTTTTTAAATTATTTTTATTCTGTAAATAATTGAAGAGTGGGTTAAAATAAAAAAATCACTATGTTTATATATTGAATTTTTGTTTAACACTCTATCATCTAATTCATATATTATAGTGGAGAAAAAACGATGAGGCATGATTTATTCTTAACCAAATAATATGATCTAAACTTAAGTATCTTTATTTATTTCAGTTTTTAAAAAATTTTTTTAATACAAGAATTTACAAACCATAGTTATCAAATACTTAAATTAATTTCTTAATTAGTTTATTAAAAGAATAGAAAATTTATTATTTAACTTATAGGTATTATCAATGAATGGCTTCGTTTTATAATATTCATACTTTGTAGCAAATTGTTAAAGAAAAATATATATTGCATTAATAGTGTTAGCAGAATAAAATCATGAACAGTAATTAGAATAACTAATAAAAATAATAAATTAAATTATAAGAATTTTATTACTTCTAGATTTTAATAGATGGAAATAGATTTTGTTATTAGGTTGGCATATCTTGTTTATACCTTTTCTGTAACATACTCTAGATTTTTTCAACATTTTAAATTAATAATGACAAAACATTAAATTTATACATAAATAAAAGACTACAAATATTAGAATTTAAACTATGGCCCAGATTATAGTTTCACCTAGTTTAAATCCACTATTATATATATATATATTTAAAATAATAATTAGAAGTTTAAATAAAAAAAAATATTTTGATTATGGCATCAGTTAGGTAGCTTGAGGAAAAAAGTTTGAAAAAATATCACAATCCAAAAAGTCCTTGTTATTATTTACCACAACATATTTTTTAAAACACATATAATACATTCAAATATAAGCACTGTTTTCACCAAAATTTTACCAATGATTATCTTCTAGCATTTTTTATAAACAATTATTAGATCATTAATTTATTTTATATTTATTTTTATGTTCTGAGTAGCATTTTTGAATTAACTACAAAAAACTAAAATTTCATCACTTGAGTTCAATTTTCAATAGTTTTGTGCCATTTATTAGGGGTGTTGAATCTTAACTAAATTTTAAATGGTTAATTATTTTTGAAGCAGAAGAGGCCGAATTTCAAAAAAAAAATATCTTACTCTATAGCTAAGAGTTACTCTAAACTGTATGCAAACATTACATTTGTTATTTACATATTATACATACACATTATGTATTAATGATGTATTCATCATATATAGAAACTTGTAAAATTATACTATTATTTGAAGGCATTAGAAGCCTAACTGTTTTTTTGAAAATACCCATTTTTTGGTTTTTTATTATAAATTCTCTGAATATTTTTTGAGAATTTTCCTAATGTATTAAATGCCCAGTATTTAACCATCACTTTTCATATCACTCATTTAACAAAAAATTATATTCTATTAATATTTAATGGTTATTAAATTTATCAAATTTCAACAGGTGTTTAATAATTAGCTTTTCCAACTAATATAAATGATTAATATAAGTGAAATTGTAGATATTGCTATATTTTCAGTTTATAATATAATAAAAAAAAAATTAAATTAAAACATAGTAAAGTATTAATGCTTACTAAATATTTAATTAATGTATCATTCAAAATAAAATTCTCAGGTTTTTAATAATCATAAACAAAAGTATTATTTTTGGAAAGTAAAATTATTAAAAAAAAATGTATTAATTATTTTTGTTTTTTTTTACCCTTTATTTGTCATAAAAAAGTTAACTACAACTTGCCTTTAATTTATATTCAATTTCAAAAAAATTAAATGGATTTTGTCGTAATCTAGTTGTAGGTATAACAGCCGGTAATGCCAATGGTTGTTTAATCCATACTTGAGAAGAACCACTAGTTATAATTCCTCTCGTTATTTCTGAGATAACTCTTGAATATTTTATAGGAAAAATTGTATGATCTTTCCAATACTTAACTATCTAAACAGTTCCAGAAAAATTTAATAAATAATATTTTGTTTTATCAAAATTGTATAATTTATATAATAGCACTCAACTAACTTGAACTATGAATGCTTTTGTAAAGATAATATCTTCCCAAGAATTATTTGTAATAAAGGCATCTAAGAAAATTATTTCACCAGGTACACACGGAGTGTGATCAATTTTAAAAGATGCTTTTATAATTGAATGGAAACAGCAAAATAATGGTGCATTGTAATTTGTTTTTTTCTCCTAAAATGTAAAATATGTGATCTACTATAAAAACAAACTAACTAAAAACCTACAATTATTTTATTGCATTTTTTTAATTCTATCTTTTGACCAACACTAAAAAATTTAAACACTGTTATGCCATTATAATAAGCAGAAATTTTATATCTTGTATGACCAAATGGCACTTCAAATGATGTTGGTAAATTGTCTGGTAATGTTAAATAAAACGTATACATTTTTGAAGAAACTAAAAAAAAAATCAGTTAAAACTATTTCTTAAAATATATAAGTATAACATAATTTATACTTGTTGATATGTCAGTAGAAGATAAATTTTTATCTTCTCTATAAATAATAGGTTTGTCTTCATAAAATAATGAATACTCCTCTGTTTCAGTTTTACATTTATTTTTCCATATTAGAGTGTATCCAATGATTCTAATAATAGGATCATTAACTAAAAATTAATGCAAATTTAATAATTTTTGAAGTAATTTTTAAGAATTTTTTAAAAAAAACTTACCATAGCTAGAAGCTTGATTAGAAGCATTAATTAATAAACTACCATTAATTATATCACTAGGGAATAATAACTGACAAGTATCATCAAGTAATAATTCCATTACAAAAAGTTTAATTTTTCAAATATTAATGAAAAATTCCAATAAAAGTAATAATTTTTAAAAATACAATGAAAAAATATTTAACACTTATTTCATTATCAAATAAACATGAATGAAATCGGTAATAAGAAAAATTCATACAAGAACATAAACAAAAAGAAACGATGTAAAATAACGCAAAGCAAAATTATACACAAATTATCGACTTTTTTTTTTAATTAATTCATATAGTTTACAAGAACTTGTACTATTAATAGAATGTTTGTTATATAATTATCATCATGGTTATCATTGATAAAACATAAATATACAAAGAATTGTACAGCAATTTTTTATTATAAACTTTAAACATAGGTGTGTCCACAAATGCCTGGACAACACCTGTAAAATTAGAAAATTGTGTACTGCATAGAGACTAAATTTTTAAAAAAATCGAATTAAATTTATTTAATTCTGCTTAATGATATTTTATATAAGAATATGTATTTTATTTTGCGAGTGAAAGGGTGAAAAAGGTTGAATAAACTAATCCAACGCCGTCCTTGTGAGTGGACAACAGATCCCTTCTCGGAGGATATTGTTTGTCCATCAATATGCTATAACAGTAATTGTTGCATGCACCTAATTTTCTATATAAATTAGATAAAAAGTTCATTAAATCTTTAACCTTAATAAACGAATAAGTTAATAAAATATATTTAGGCTTGAAGTTCATGGTCTTCCTGATCACTTTCATTGATATGGGTTTAATCGTAGCATTAAAAAGACAAGCCATGCAAATAACATTTATTCAATTAAAAGTATAACATATTAGTTTTTAGTCAAAAATTTATTAAAAGTATTAAAGTTGCCAAATATTTTCCATGGATAAATTGAAAAAATTAAATTTATAAATAAATATTGGTGATTTTGTTTATTTTTTCAACACTTATTTTTAGATTTTTAAAAATTCATTCTCCTCTGAAAGTAAATCCTGACTGCAACATTAAAAAACATTTTTTAAATAATAAATATTAATCATTAAAAACAAATAATATAAAGTAATAATTAAATTTAAATAGTTTAAATACTGTTAATTATAAACTTCTTGACTTATGGTCAAAGCTGAATTTAGTGTACCTAGGTCCTCATAAAAGTGAGGTCCCCACACGTATCAGCCGTAATTTTTTTTATTTATATAATTTAATATTAAAATGAATGAAATTGAATTAATTGTAAATTTTCTTCTGTGATTGTACACAAATAATGACGAGTATTTCAGCTAGTAATTGTATATTGTGAACATAAAATAATTTTGTATAGTTTTAGTAGTATAATAGTTTAAGTGTTTAATAAAAATATCGAATACGTTTTTCTTGGAAAATTATGACGGAAACTGCGCGTTGTCGACATTATAGTTGTTACTTTATTAATAAGAGTATTATGCATAAATAATTAATTAATTTTTACTTCATCATCAATTATTTGAAAAAAAAAAAACGTTAATATATTATAAACAATTATGTAGAAAAAAATCATTTTTTCATTAAATTTTCTACAAATACATTTTACATATAAATTAAAAACTGAAAAAATGTAGTTAATTCAGCAAAAAATTGTTCTTTGACATTAACAGCTGGTAGTACTGGTTAAACTTAATCAATTGACTTCAAATTTTGTGCACATTATTTTTAGCTTCGATGCGAAGCTGAGAAGGTATTGGTTTTACTAAGATGTGTATTTTTTTTAGTCTGTTACCACTTTTTCTCAGCTCTCACCGAACGGATTTCTTTCAACGATACGTCAAAAGATCACAAATCGTATCTAGTCGAAGACATTACCCTTAAAAATTGAAAAAAATTCCCTCGTTCCCCGTAAATGGGGGAAACCTCCNCCCTCGTTCCCCGTAAAAGGGGGAAACCTCCAAAAAAATTACAAATTTAAAAATCGCTAATTTTCGAAATTTTTTCAATTTTTTTTACTTAAAAGTGCCATAACTTTTTCAAAAATAAACATATCAATATAATTCTTTTTTATATAGATGTATAATATCATTACCTTTCATTTGGTATATTTTTTTCATAAATTTAATCCTTAACCTGCCAACAAGGGGGGATTTAAAATGACAACTTTTTCACAAAAAATTAATTTTTTTAACTTAAATTTTGAAAATGTTCCGGAAGGTCTGACACTTTTATATATATCTTAAATTAAAGCTAATGTAATATGCTTTATCATGAAAAAAAAAAATTTCGGACTTTATCTTATCTTCATGGTGAAAATGGCTACCGAATGCTATTTTTGTGTGAAAATTTTCGATTTTGTATTTTCCATTTTTAACTTTATTATGCTATAACTTTTTGAAAAATGTATGAATCATTACAATTTTTTTATGAGAAGTAGTATTTATATAGATCTTTCATTCGACATACTGTTTTTTTAAATCGGACCATTTCCCTAAATACAGGGGGGATTCAAAACATAAAAATGCATATAGAAAGTAGAACTTTTTCAACGTAACTTTTGAAAGTGTTCCGGAAGGTCTGACACTTTTATATATATCTTAAATTAAAGCTAATGTAATATACTTTATAATGGTAAAAAAAAATTTCGGACTTTATTTTATCTTCATGGTGAAAACAGACATTAAACTTAATAAAAAAAATACGATTTTTGTAAAAAAATTCTTTTTTATATTTTTAACTTTATAATGCTATAACTTCTCGAAAGATGTATGGATCAATATAATTCTTTTTTTTGTAGATGCATGATGTCTTTACCTATCATTTGGTATATTTTTTTTATAAATCTGACTTTTTACCTGCCTACAGGGGGGGATTCAAAATGACAACTTTTTCACAAAAAATTGACTTTTTCAACTTAAATTTTGAAAGTGTTCCGGAAAGTCTGACACTTTTATATATATCTTAAATTAAAGCTAATGTAATATACTTTATCATGGAAAAAAAAAATTTCGGACTTTATTTTATCTTCAAGGTGAAAATGGCTACCAAATGCTATTATTGTGTGAAAATTCTCAATTTTATTTTTTACATTTTTAACATTATAATGCTATAACTTATTGAAAAGTGTATTGATCAATATAATTTTTTTATGGGAAATACTATTTTCTAATAATCTCTTTTTTATTCTACATACTTTGTCTTAATCAGGATATTAATAAGGAACTAGCAGTTTATGAAGCTTTTGGAATAATCCACCAATTTTTTAAAATTAAACACTATCTAAAGATTTGCATCGAAGCGTTTTTTTTTGATAGTGATTTTAATCACTGTCAGATATCATTATACTTGATCCAACTATGCCACGTCACCACTGTGCCGCGACCCCCCTGTGCTGGGTTTTTTTTTTTTTTTTTAACTTTATAATGCTATAACTTATTGAAAAGTGTATGGATCAACACAATTTTTTTATGAGAAATAATATTTTTTAATAATCCCTTTTTCATTCGACATACTTTATCTTAATTAGGATATTAATAATGAACTAGCAGATCATGTAGCTTTTGGAATAATCCACCAATTTTTTAAAATTAAACACTATCTAAAGATTTGCATCGAAGCGTTTTTTTTTTATAGTGATTTTAATTACTGTCAGATATCATTATACTTGATCCATCTATGCCACGTCACCACTGTGCCGCGACCCCCCTGTGCTGGGTTTTTTAAATGTGTGAACCAATTTAAGGTATACTATTGATAAACATCTAATATTGAAAATTAAGGACCACACTAGAGAATATATGTACTAGAAATTTTTACTATTCAACTTAATTGAAGTATGACCGTATTTGGTAACAAAAATATTATTACCTTGGGTGATTTTGATATCTATCCTGCCAATGTATACCCTAACATATATCAAAATACCATAAGATAATTGTGATAGAGTTATTTATTTATTTGTTTTATGGCCGAAATGGGAGTTGTTTATATAATCACACTGAAAAAAAAAATACTGTGGTAAATTCAACAAATTATCAAAATATACTATATCATAGTGCAATAAACTTTTTGTTAAATGAAACATAGTTTTATTAATTCAACCATTATTTTTGTTAGAAAAATAAAAAATAAATTACATTAACAAATATTTTATTAATTCCAAAAAAAAATAAAAATGATCAAATAAAAAAAAAAGTACTATTTATTTAACAAAAAAATTAATTCCACATTAAAGAGAATACTTGTATTTTTAAAATATGAACGACGATCCTAACTGTAACACTTTTTATCAGTTTAAATCATATCAGTTATATCATCAATTATGTTATCAGAACTATATTATCTTCCATTTTTTCATTCTTAACCGATCCCAAAGTTGAACTCACGTATATAATAATTTTTAGACTTCTATATTTAACTTAATGTGCAACGTAAAATTAAAATAATTTCTAGAATAGCCAATTTTTAATTATTGGAAATTGTGTAGATATGTTTAATTTATTATTTTACTATAATGTTTAGTGCCACATTTTTTTTTAAATTTAGAAGAAATAAAATTTATAAAACAATTTTTTGCTTGTTAAAAAATTCATGTTATCTTCATACAACTTCTGTTATTAGAAGTAAATATAATTCTAAAGGACCTCCCTGGCGTATATTATTTTTTGGGAATGATGATTTTTCTGCTAAAAGCCTTCAATTATTGTCTGCTAAAATGTAATCATCCTTTAATATTTTTATCATAAAATTTTATTATGTTTCAGTAATAATATTGTGTTCTATATAGGAAAACACAAACTATCATTTCTAAGTTAGATGTAGTTACAACTTCAAAAGGGCGAGGAATTAATATTAGAAATATAGCTAAAGAAGAAAAATTAGTTACATTAGAGTGGCCTGTGAGTAAAGTACAATTAGAAAAACAATATGATATTGGGGTTGTTGTGTCATTTGGTCGTTTAATACCTGAAGAAATAATTAATTTATTTCCCCTGTAAGTAGAAAAATACAAAGTTCAGTACATTAAAATACACTTATAAAATTTTTATATGGCATAAAATTAACAAATTTTTTTTTACAGTGGAATGATTAATGTACATGCTAGTCTTTTGCCTAGATGGCGAGGTGCTGCACCTATAGTTTATACAATTTTAAATGGGGATTTGGTATCTGGCGTTACAATTATGAAAATTCACCCAAATAAGTAAATAAATTTAAAAAAATTAAAAAAATATATTTTAACATTAGGGTATATTGCTTTAGGTTTGATGTTGGTGAAATAGTACGACAGCATAGTTGTGCAATTGACCAGCATGAAATGGCTAAACAACTTAAAGAAAAATTAGCTGAAATGGGTGGAAATTTATTAGTGGAATGTTTTAAAGAACTTAGAAAAAATTTAAAGTATGCAGTACCTCAACCTAAATTTGGTATAACTTATGGTAAACTATAAAATAGTTATATTATTTATTTTTCTGAAGATATCAATAAGTAATTCTGGGAATAAACATGTATATAAATGAAAATATTATATTTAAATTAAATGAACTATAGTTATTTTATACATTTAAAATAACATTTAACTATATAATATAACTTTAAGAATAACAAAAGATGTATCTTTTAATAAAAAAATATTTTACAGTCTTCTAATTATAATAAATATAATAATATAAATAACATACACATATATATGGTGATATACCCATCAAAGCCATGATGGCAAAATATAAAAACAAAATTGTAATTTATCATTAGATTTAGTTTTAAATTATTTTACACTCTCCTCTAAAGTTAATTTTTTTGAACTAAAATCTATTAATCTATTGATGACATAATTTACTATTTTATATTTAGATAGTACTTATCATTCTTAGTACAAAGTTTAAAATAATTACATTTATAATACATATATGAAACAGCAGTAAATGTTATATATATTTTCAGTTGCAGTTATAATAAATAACTATATGAATTATTAAATATATATATATTATATTTCAGCTCCTAAAGTTGTTAAGTCCATGGCTATTGTTAATTGGAAAACATCAGATTCAAAAGTGTTGTATGATAAGTTTCGAGCTCTTGATGGTTTATATCCATTAACAACCACATGGCAAGGAAAACAGATCAACTTGTACAAAATTAGCTGTCTTCATCATATTAAAAATTTCAATGATTCAGTAGAACCAGGTTCAATATTATGTGATAAAAAGAAACGTACACTTATTGTTAAGTGTGGTGGAATAGGTGGGTTTATTTTGGTTGGACAAGTAAAACTATCTGGACATAAAACAATGATTGGTTATGATTTTTATAGCGGGTTTGTAAGTAAAAAACCTGAAAAAGAAAGAAAATTTGTGACTGAATTACTAGATTAAGAAACTTATTAAAAAAAAATTTCAAAAGATATTTTATTGTTGATGATTTTTTATATTGTTAGAAATTTTTTGAAGTAAATAAAATTATTGTTATATTTAAGTACTAATTATATGTACTTATTATACACAATTGTTTCTGTTTATATGTTAACCAATGTGGTGTATTATTTCTTTAAAGTTTCTAAAAAATGTCAACTATTTCGTAATTAAAATGCTATCATTAAAGATCTAATAATTTATTTAAATTAATCATAAAATTGTGATTAAATCACTTTTTATAGCTTTGATAAGAAGCCAAGAAGGTATTAATTTTACCATGATTGATTATTTTATTTCTTTTTATGGTCTGTTACTACTTTTTCTTAGCTCTCATGGGACATTGTTGAAGACAATACCCTATATAATTAAATATATTTTTCTCATTTCACTTAAATGAGTAAAATCCGCTAGAAAATTATGATTTTAACTTTTTTACTGGACCAGATATTATTAAAGTAATATATTATCATTGTTAGTAAAAATATTCCCAATACCTTGTGTAAAATTTAAATGTTTCAATTGTGCATATACATCTGTAGTTTTTTTTTGTGTTGAAAATATTAATTTCATATTTAATTTTTTGAATTTTATATTTCTATAACTTTTTTAAAAATAAATGGATGAATACGATATTTTTTTATAAGTACTTAATATATTTCTTTCATCTGATATACTTTTTTTAAAATATCAAACCATTTCCACTTATACAGGGGGGTTAAAAAAACTAAAATATTTATTTATTTCTATATTATACTTATAAATCTAAAAACTATTAGGTTAGTTTCAATGGAATTGTCAGGTGTATTATTCTCAAAAATGTTTTCTTCGGTTTCAGCAGTCGTATTTGTGTGGATATCTCTGTAGACTTTTGGTTTGATAGAATATTTGTCAAAATAGGTGTAGCATTGGTCCAAAAATATAAGAAATATGAAAACTAAAATACCACTAAGTAGTTGTTTACTCAAAAAAAAAATAAATTCATTAGCTTAAGTTACAAATTTTTCTACGCTACTTGTATTTATTAATTAAATATAAACAATTGATTTAGTCTCGACATTTTTTTTTTTTTGTTAAAATAGCTGTAAAAAAAATTGTAAATGATTTATAAATGTTTAATTAAATTTATATGATACATTTTTAATTTAAAAATAAATAATTAGACTTATCTAATTTGAAATAATGAATTACTTAACTTTACCAAAAATTTAAATTATTAATAAAAAATAGTTTTCCTGTATCATATGTGTTTATTACAAAAACAAAATTGGACATTCATTAAAAAGGATAAAAATAAAAAGATACTTTTAAAACAATAAGAAATTAATATCAAAAAATACAGCAAATTTTTATTGATTTAATGTAATTGCTTAATTACTTCATTTTGGCTATAAGTTTATTTAATACTTCGTCCAATTATAATTTTGGCGACGCCATTGATATTTTTTTACTTGTTTTGTTAAACTCAAATTACAGCTAAAAAATAAAATAAAAATTAGATCTTTAACTAAATTATAACATAAAGTATTTCTTTTCTTTAATGCCGTAAATTTGAAATTACAAAAAGAATAACTTACAAAATATTTTGAATGTCTCCTACATTGAAAAGATTTTTAAAAATTGGGTTTAATAACAAACATTTGATTTGGTCTTATTACTAATCGATATACAAATATTAATCAAATAGTTTAAACTAAAATTTAAAAATTGAAAATATTATTTAAAACTAATAATACTAAAAATATTTAACTTAAAAAGCCATAAAAATTACAAAAAAAATGCGAATATGTATTTCGGAAAAAATATTATCATTACTAATGCTTAACACATACTGAACCCAACGCCGATTGAAAAAACATGCTCTATTAGTATTTTTGTGGCTTTCTGAGTTAAATATTTTTTAGTTCTAAATTGATATATTTTATAATTCTAATTTTAAATATAGTATTAGCAACAAGTGATCAATTTTTATTATATGAAAATAATAATTAATTTTTTTTCAATTTAAAACATACTTAAAGTGTTTCACTTCAGTATTTTTATGAAATCGTACAGACTTCTCTTGATATGTATCTATTAATCTAATATTGGCTATATTTTTTGCTGAATTATTATCATAATTTTCAATTTTTTTAAGAATTCCTTGCTATAAAAAAATTAATTAGAATGAAATTATCAAACAACTATTTATAATATAACAACAGCAATTTGTTGATGGTTGAAAAATGCATATTAATTGTTTAAATACTTAGTGAATATTACTCACTTTAGTGGCTGATTTAGATACAGTAGAAAAATTATACGATGTCTTAGTTTTGGTATCTGAATTTTTGTTAGATTCATTTTCAAAATTCCTTTTTGACAGTAATATAAAAGTGTTGTTTTCATGAGGTGATTCTTTAATATTTCCCGAACATATTTTAAACGGTTGAGTTAGAAGATTGTTTGGAGACTGTGACATGTCCGTGTTAAAATAATTATTAGCCAATACGGAAGTGTCTGTAGATGTGTTGGTGGGTTCTTTTTCAATTTGTGTAATAATTTCTGAGTTTAGGTTTTTAACAGATTCAATTTCGTTATTGAATAATGAATTGTTAGTGTAATGTGTTGTAATATTATTTTCTGGAAATATTTTAGACGGTAGAGTTGAAAGATTTTTTTTTGACGATGTTTTGTCCATGTTCAATGAATCATCTATTATTGTAATTTTCTTTATAGATGTTTTAGAGGGCTCTTTTTCGTTTTCAATAATCGGAGTTAGTGTAATTTTATCTTCGCTAGGTGACTGTTCTAAAATTGAATTATTTGTCATAGTAGGTAACTCCAAATTAATAGGATGTGTAGTCAAATCCGTGCGAGTATTCGTTATAGGTTCTACTGTTTTAGTTAAAGTATTTTTCTTCTTAGAAAGTTTCATTTCCAAAAATGTCTGCAGTGACACAACTGCCAGGGCAATAGACATAATATCTTTGATTACTTGAATCGGAATTATAAAATATATTACCAACGTCGTTATCACGAAAAACAAATCTGAATCCATTTTTTTTATAAATGTATGCTCTCAAAACTTGAAATTTTTAAGTTATACTTAGAGAAAAATATAAGATTTAAAGATTTTTTAATATATATGCTGACTAATTTATCACGGAACAAAACTTAAGCATAAAATCACCAAACGGTGTCGATTTAAACGACAATATTGCTCTTATTTAAGCAAAAAAAGTCTTGTTTACTTTTTATTTAAGCCAATTAATATAACAAAAAATGTTTTAAAATTGGCCAATAATTATCAAATTTGTTTAATAAGATGTGTTATTTTGAATATAAAATGTAATTAATATAATGTTACAAACCGTATTAATATATTCATTGAATAAAGCTATTGTCAATTACTTAAAATTAATTATTAAACAAATTTAATTAAATTTTCAATCGGCATTGGGTTCAGTATGTGTTAATTATGTCTTCAGGTATTAAACGACCAAATGACACAACAACCCCAATATCATATTGGNTCAGACCTTCCGGAACACTTTCAAAATTTAAGTTGAAAAAGTTCTACTTTTTACATGCATTTTTTAGATTTGAACCCCCCTCGAATATAGGGAAATGGTCCGATTTANGGCCACTCTAATGTAACTAATTTTTCTTCTTTAGCTATATTTCTAATATTAATTCCTCGCCCTTTTGAAGTTGTAACTACATCTAACTTAGAAATGATAGTTTATGTTTTCCTATATAGAACACAATATTATTACTGAAACACTTAAGCTAAAGACCTAAAGAAATATAAAGCTGAAGTCATTGTCACTTTACCTCCATGGGGAGGACCGTCGTAACAAAACCATAAAACATACAGTTTGGAGAAAAATATGTGTGTGAATACGAAGGTGGCGGTCAAACGATCTTTGAATTGCCCCGAAATATTGCTCCCAACGTAACACACATACTTAAAAGTGCTGATCGAAATGAAGTAAGTTTCTATTTCATACACAATACATATAACATCAGTTAATATTTTTCAATTAATTTTTTAGTTGTTCAAACTAGGAAAATACTTTAATAACAACATAGTAATACAGAATAACTTTATCAATGGAAAACTGGATTCCATCACCACATTTTTTTGTAGATTAAATAACATTAATTTAAAACTCAAACAAACTAATATATAACTTTTCAGTCAAAAAAGAAAACATAATTAATACTCGACATGATCAAATTTTGCGATTCAACTGATATAGACCATTATTAATCTCGACTTCAAAATAGACTGTTACAGATTTTGACTTCAAGTTGTTACGTCGCTATTTAGGGGTTGAGTCTAAACGCCCATCGACAGTATTCTAAGGGACCAACGGGAGATAGCTGGCTAGGCTATATCTACCTAAGGTACTGAAGTTTCCTATTTCATTTATATTCCCTACAATATATATATATAACACTTTAGGTTAACAACGATATAAATAAATATTTATTAAGCAATTGAAATATTAAATAGATGATACAACCTGCTGGACACCTAGAGATGATATAATCCAACAGGGGGCTGACGGCGACACACACACTCTCTATATACGGAGTCGAAAGGTTAAGTTAATTATCAAACAAAAGTAGTGATCGCGAAGATGGTAAAATGTCAACTGTCGATAGGGATATCTTATTATGGCACATTGGCCGTGAATTGCAAAAGTGTTTATGTGTGCAGTCTGCCCTCTTGTTGGTATTGTTGTATGTTACTGTGTTAATAATATATATATACAGGGTGTTCAGTAAGTCAGGAAACGGGTTTCTATTGTTTTAATTGTTACAAACAATGAGAACAATAGAAACCCGTTTCCTGACTTACTGAACACTCTGTATATGTCTATTAAACGGTACAATGATGTTATGGGAGACAGAGATATGGGCACATGCAAATGTGATCGTATCAAAGTAATTAATGATTTTGAACTATAACAAATTCACCAACTCTTATATTTTGCGGCAGCAAAAAGTGCAGGATGACACTTTTATCTTTAATGATACATTCAGACAAGTATACACTTGTTATTTACATTTTTGGTAATTATAATAAATAAATGATAAACCAGTTATTTTTTTTATTTGTTGTATATTTTCATTATTTGATTTATTTTTTATTATTCATTTATTTTTTTGTAAATACTTTTTATAATAAAAACATAAATTTGTGTTTCTATTACACAATTGTTATTTTATGATTATTATTCATTTCTAACTTTTCTATTTGTTTTCTCGCAGTTGTATAAATCATTGTTAACGTGTCTTAATAAATTAGTTGTGTTGTAAAACAATTTTATGAATTTAAAAAATTATTTATTAATCATTTTAAATTCAAAAATATAAAAATTAAACAACATTCTGTTATAAAAAAAACTGGTATCTAACAAAAATTGTAATAGTTTTCACTGTTTCAATGGATACAAAAGCATTTATTACACAATATTTCGATTTTATTTGTAAACTGAATAATTATTATAATTATTATACAGTATTGTAGTAATTAGATGAGGAAGTATTGAATTACGTCGATTTTAGTATAATATAAGCTTTACAATAGTAGTAAGCAATTTTTGAACTCTTAAGCAATATAATAATTCCATATAAAAGGGAAATGCAGGGTAAGCAAATTAATAATGGTGGGAAAAAGAATATAAAAGGGAAACATGAAAAGTATAGGTGAACGATACTGGGCGAGACGAGACTGGACGTTTTGTCGAAGAAACGTCGAGTTACGGGTTAGGTCGTTGATGTAAGAATAACTTTATATTTTTTTTATAAGATTTAATTAATTTTTGTGTTAAATTATTATATTATATTTGACTTTGTGTTTGATACATTTCGTAAATAAAATAACTATTTAAAAATCTGGGCTTAGCGCAAATATTTTATATTCATCGTGTTCTTGGAATTTGTGTGTGTGTGTGCGGCTAGAGTCTAGGTTGGACTGCTGGTCCTTTAGTCAATCTTAATAATTAGTGTACGAGCTGGCTAGTGTTTGGGCTTAACCGTCCTTTAGTGGGTATAGTAAAAAGGTAGTTGTGCTGGTGGCTGACAAGGAGCCACCCTTCAGTCTGCTACTTTTGAGCTAGACTGTGCTGACGGGTCTAAACTCTACCCCTTTAGTAGTCCACTAAATAGAGAGATTGGGGCTGATCAGTTTATCCAACGGGAAGACTCAAGAAGAGCTCGAACGACGAACTCGTCGTCGATATATATATATATATAAGAACATTAATTAATTTGTGTTAAACTTTTGTGTCTACGTTGGAGCACTACCGACCTACAACTTAAATTGGAGCCCAACTCGAGGTTCGTACCAACACGACCCCTCGAAGTTTTTTTGTAACATCGAAATTTGTGTGTGCGTGTAATTTCGCGTCAATAAGTTGATCCGTCGATCACTACAATACAAGGATTACTTGAAACATTTAACCGGAACACCCAAGGTTAGTGCAAAATATATTTATATATAATAATTTTATTTAATTATTAAATTTAGTAATTTAAAAATCTCCCCAGAAGAAAAAAAAAATTTTGTGTGTGTATGTATAATTTCTCATATGTCTATAGTATGAGTAATATTGAGGACATAGAGGAGAAATTAAAAGAAATTTTTGGGGATAATACTAATTCAGAATTAGATACATTTGTTTTTGACATAATATTTTCTGCCCAGGAACTCATTAATATTTTTGACGACGGAATATCACAATTGACTGACCTATTTATTGAACTGACCACAAAAACAAAAAACCATTTACACATTTTTAAAAGATCTAAGTTTTAATTTAATTTTATAATTATACAAATTTTTTTTTACATAAACATCTTATTTTTTTTTTTTTAATAATAAAAAAGAGAAAAAAAAGTTCAATAATTTAAATAAAAATTAATTTCGACTTTCTAGAATATTAATTTGATTACTTAATTATTATGATTTATTATGAATATTAATGAAATTCAAAAATTTTAATTAAACAAAATTAGTGATATACAGGGTGATTTTTTTATCATAACCCACTCAATTACTTACAGAATAATAATAATTAAAATTTTTTTTTTTATTATTACCTTTAGTTACACATTATTCTTCAATTATTAACTATGTAATACTTTTTAAGTTCATCCCTTATGACTGGTAAGGGTGTGAACTTTGTTTTTATCAATGGTAACACATATTTTTAATTTAATAAAATGTTTGAGTTTTTAATCCAATAGTAAATGGCATTTGAATTTTAATGAAACTTAATTTGCTTATTAGATATAAATATTTAAAGTTTCAAATTTTTGAGTTAATATATAGGTATAATACACAAGGGTTTACAAATACAGGTAGCTAATGGATTTTTTATGACATCGATATTAGCAGGTACACAGAATTGTTATCATCAATGATAGTAAGGTACATTGTTGTGAGTTTATAAATACACTAACTGACAATACAAAAAGTATATCTATTGGTAGTCATAATTGATAATAAACAATTCGTGACTGTGACAGCAATGTCATAAAAAACCAATTAGCTACCTGTATTTGTAATCCCTTGTGATTATACCTATATATTAACTCAAAAATTTGAATCTTTAAATATTTATATCTAATAAGCAAATTAAGTTTCATTAAAAATTAAAATGCCATTTACTATTGGATTAAAAACTCAAACATTTTATTAAATTAAAAATATGTGTTACCATTGATAAAAACAAAGTTGACACCCTTACCAGTCATAAGGGATGAACTTAAAAAGTATTACATAGTTAATAATTGAAGAATATTGTGTAACTAAAGGTAATAATAAAAAAAAAATTTTAATTATTATTATTCTGTTAGTAATTGAGTGGGTTATGATAAAAAAATCACCCTGTATATTCAANTTAAATTAAACAAAATTAGTGATATATATTCATTAAAAAAAGATGATCTTATAAATTTGTGTAAAAGTAAAAACTTAGACGAATTAGGAAACGTAAATGACTTAAGAACACGTTTAGCTAGATACTTTAGAGCGCAACTTAAACTGTCAGATATAAAACCTAACTTAAGTCCAGCTGAAATTGAGCAAGTTATTTATGCCTCTTCTAATGATAAACTAATAATCGTAGAGAGTAACGTAGAACTAAGTGTAGAAGGTAAATTTGAAAGTATAGGTGAAAAGGTATCAGACATCCTTATTGAAGAAAAAAATCATTCTTACGCGAATACTAGCGATATTACAAAACCGGATCATTTTTATAATAATATTAAAAACGCTTCGTCGGGTGATCAAAATAAATTAGAGGGTTCAGGTAAAGAACATTTTTATGAAGATATAGACGATTTAAATAGAACTTTTAAAGAAGAACAAACACCGGATAATCGTAATAACTTAACAGAGGGAAAAATTTTGGACTTACTTTCATTAACTAATTGCATAGAAACAATAAATTCAAATATTACAAGTATGGAGTCTAATAACCGATCTTGGTTGATGAAACCAGATTATTTTTCGGGTACTGAGGACATAAGAAAATTTTTCAGGCAGTATGAAAAGGCAAGTGAAATAAATAGATGGAATGAGAGTGATAAAATAAAATTTTTGTCAATATTTTTAAAAGGGACAGCTAGTATATTTTTAGAAAACTTAGAAGATAAAAAATCAATTTGGACATATGAGGAATTAAAAAACTTAAAAAAGATTTGGAGTAGGCTGAGGGTTTACGACACTATTGATAATGTCCTCATCGGTTAGTTCTTGTTCAACAGGCTCATTCTCGTCGATTTGAAGCCACTCTTCTGCCTCATCTTCAGACAGGTTTTCAAGGGATTGTCAGCACTTTTAACGATATCCACAACTTTGGTCAGAGCGTCTTGATTGTTTTCTTTCTCATCAATCTGTAGAGTTAGGCCAGGTACAGGGTTTGCAGCTGGCCAAAGTTTTCTCCAGAATTTTTGGAGTGTTGTATTTTTTACCTGGTTCCAAGACAGTGTAATAGCATAGACGGCATCTTTTACTGTAAACTTTTTTTGAAAATCAGTCACGTCACAGTCGGCATTTAATAGGCCTTGAATAAAAGACCTTCCATAAAAGCATTTAAAATTTCGAATAACCCCTTGATCGTTTTTATTTGCTTTAAAGGCATTTTTTTGGAGAAAACCAAAATTTTTACAATTTTCCGGAGCGATGCCGGACTATCTGGCATTCCGGACTGTTGGATGTCGTATTATTGGACTTCTACTGTATATTAATGTTGGCGAACAGAGAGGCAGGTAGTTCGGACCGGTTGACCAACTGCTTAGCGTCACAGAAGGGATCGGTACTACCTACCAGGCTGAGAGGTAATGAGGGTTGCTTGTAGTCTCAACGACGTCAGTGTTCAGAACCAACTAGAAGAAGAAGGACGCAGCAGATATCCCCTTTCTTCTATATTTCATATTTGTTTAATTTTTTTGTTATGAGTTATTTTCTTAATAAAGCAAGTTGTTTTGATCATTCACTATAAGTAAGTTTGTTTTTATTTATTGCATAGAATAAATTTGTTTACAATAGACAAATTTATAATAACACAATATTATTGATAGTAAAATTTAGAGCAATTGTAAATAAGTTAACTGCATGAGTTCACCTGCGCACAGCTACGTTAGGCATAATTCATGTAATCAGAAAGAAATAATTAGAGTATGGTGGCTTAACTATATTTTAATTATTTCCGTTTTATAGTCATCGTTGTCCGCGCACTGCGGTGGTCGATTGACTTCTAAGGTACTCGTCCAAGGTGGTACTCTACTGTTATGTGTCGATGATACTCTGCGGATACCACGACATGTTAAGGGCTATTTGCACAATATTCACAGATTAAGCTACACGACATAACGCATATAGTATTATTTGTTATCCAGCGTAAGTTACTCATGCAGTTAGGTTATAACGACATTTGATATATTTTACACATGGTAGAGCTTCATATTCTGTTTTTTAATATTTCATGATTACTGTCCATTCACGAGTATTAACAATTAAAGAACAAAATAATGGATGTTATTGTGCTTTTCATATAGCCATGTGTGTAAAAAAGTCGGCATTATGATATTTCCATGACTTTTTTGTTCATAATCAACTTAAAGTGATTAGAAAAATTTGTCAATTCAAATTTAAATATTTTTGCCTCTCAATTTTTTAATTTTTAAATACTCTTTAATTAATACAAGTTTTGATAATAAATTTATAAAATAGCTTACAAAAATTGCCCTGCTTTTCACAAATGTTGAGTCCAAGTTTTAAATACTGAGCAGTGACTGAAATCACTGTCAAACTTCTCTTCGATGCTTATGATATTTATAATAATTTTTTGTATAAATAATTAAATTTGACTCTTCTTCTTTTTTTCACCTTAATCCCAACTACTTGGGGTCGGTCAAAGAATTAAATTTGACTAAAAAATTTTTTTTTAATTACCAGAACTTAGTTATGGAATAATATTAAATAATTCGACAATAAATACTTTAAAAATATTATATATGGATGATTTTAATTGTTTGTATGGAGAAAGCTGGTTAAGAGATTTTTTTTACAGAAGAAAAGATGTCAGGACATATTTTTTTAAACTTATAGTGCGTAATATAAGCTTTAATTTGATATATTTTTAAAGGATGTGCAGTATTTCCAGAACATTTTCAAAAATTAAGTTGAAAAAGTAAGTTTTCCTAAAAAAGCTGCTATTTTAAATTCCCCTGGTGATCAGGTTAAGTGTTAGACTTTAAAAAAATGGTATAAAATGAAAAAAAAATCATTCAGTTTATTTTCAATATTCAAACATAATTTTTAAATTGAATTCCAACAAATCAAATAAAAATTTGATTTTAGTATGTTCAATTCATATATTATAAGGATATGTGTACCATTTGTGCATACTCATTTAGTTCGACGGTCTAACCGAGTAGTGGCAATTTTAATGCATATTGTTGCACACGAAATTCAATTTAAAAATTTTTACACATTTGTTATGATTTAAACAAACATAAATTTGCTAGGCAACTAGTGTTATCATTTAGCCAAACTATTTTATAAACGAAAAGAATAAATACTACGAACACGTGTAACACGTGTACTGTTAATTAATTAAAAATTTAGCTCAAAATAAAGAATACGATTTAAATTGAATTCCAACAAATCAAATAAAAATTTGATTTTAGTATGTTCAATTCAAATATTATAAGGTAGATTTACATAAATAATTCTGTTAGATCGAATTACCGTTTTGTATGGATTATCTTTTGATTACATTAACTTTCTGATGAAGTGTACTGATACGGCGTTCCTATACTATAGCATTGTGCATTTAAACATACTTGAGTGTAGATGTTATTGCCCAAGTAACATTATATTTGATCATTGGGACTTGAATAATACATGAAACACTTAACCAAGATGGACTACTAGTATGCTATTATCACTCGTTCGGTTAATATACAATCAAAGGTCATTTAGAGGATATACGTAAGTGGAAACGACCCAACAGCTACCTGATAACAGCTCAGACACCAGATCGATTTTACCCTTCCTTTTCAAAGTAAATAACATCCCTAAGCCAGTGAAAACTATTTACTTCATTGTTTCGACTTAAAATTAGTAAAATTGTTTGATTAAATATTTAAATTACCAATAAATCGTAGATAATTTTGTGGGGATTCAAATGTATCAAATTTTAGTTTTTTACATAGAAAATAACCTGGGAAAACGTAATCATGAGAAAAAAATATACTAAATGTCAATAATTCGGAAAAGTTATCTTAGTATTTTTTTAGTACATTTCAGCGTCGGATGAGAAAAAAGGATCCATTGAGATTTTTATCCATTCACACCTAATTCCTCGATGATTTTTTTTTTCTCATCATTTAATTTTGTATTTTTAATCTTTTCAAAAATTACTCCTCGGTGTCATATTTATGGAAAAGATCATAATCTCATGTTATCTATAGTAGCAATAAAACAGCTATATTGAAATAAAAATTTTCATTTTTTTTTTTTATTATGTTCATTTTTGCTAAAAACAAAAAACTTGTTGATATTTTTATATTTATAACATAATAAATACAAATAAATTTAAAAAAAACACTTGGTGTTAACATGTTTACAAGTTTGTTAATCTTAATTGTTTTGAAGTTGAGTCTGTGATTTTAAAAAGTTTTGTCTCTCGTAGGCGCCTTTTTCCAGTGCCATTTTTACACATAGAATGCATTTTATCTTATTTAATAAATCACATGAACTCAATGCAAAAAACACTAAAACAAAACAAATCTAACACCTCAATGTTAATAGCATTACGTGCGATGTAAGCTATGTAAATTTTTATCACCTTATATTCGGTTAAAAATTGTTTGATAATCGTCTCCAATAGACCACCATACAAACCTAAGGGTTATTTATAAGTAAACTGTATCTATTTTTTTGATCTGTTTTATAAATTACGCCAGTCGTAGATTAAGGTTTATATTATATTGTTACTAATAACTTTATCATAGTATTATAATTTTCTAGAAGTACCTATACTATTTATAATTGGGTTTTATTTTTTACTTTCAAACCGAGTGACCAATTATAATTTTCAAAATATTTGTGAATTTTCCATTACAAGTACTTGAATAACTAAGTACCTAAATATCTACGTTTTAATTAAAGAAAGTCAACTATAAGTGTTCAGCTTGATTTTTGTAGGACGTATAATACTGATACTATAATTTTTTTAAGTATTCAGTTCCATATGTTTTTCGAAAATCAATCTCAACTCTTATATCCAACACAAACATTAGTGATTATTTTTCAAAACGTGCTTGTAATAAAAAAGTTACTACATAAAATTAACGTTTGAAATATTTCCATTACAATAAAAATTATACCCATACAAGTATAAATCTGATCACATGAAACGCAATTGCACAAAGAATTTACTGGATTTTAATATAACAAACCATAATTATGATGATAACAATTTGTTTACGTTTTTATTTTAAAAATTGTGATTTCTTATGTACTTACAAGTTTTGTTAATAAGATTTATTTAATGTTTTTTATTTAATTATTTTTTTGAATAATAATTCTACATCATAACTAGTTAAATAACTTTTGAAATTAAGATATAATTCTAAGTCAAAGTATGATATATAAATTATATTTATATAATTTATAAACCATATAAATGTGAAACTCCTCCAACTAAATAAATAAAATTGATATATTGTCTGAAAAATTAATTTTAGATAATATATTCTTAATAGGTATATAAATTTCATTAATAAAAACCCATTACAAAAGTTAGCCCAAAAATCATAGTCAATTTTAAGCTTTTTTTTTTACATATTTTATAATTTTTTTTCAATATTCAAACATAATTTTTAATGTTTTTTTATAGTTATTATTATATATTATTTTGTTAATTTTATAAAGGTAATTTATTATTCTTGAATTTTATAATTATGAAAAATAATTAGATAATAAAAAGTTAAATTCCGGGATATTTTATTAAAATTATTATTACTTCAAGTATTTATGTATTTTTTATAAATAAAATATTTTATTGTTTAACTCAGGGAAACTTTGTACATCAGTATATTTTTTTAGGAATAAGTTTCAGGTTCTTTCTGATGATTTCTTCGCACAAATATGTATCCTAACTGAAGTAAAATCACTAAAATCATTAAAACAAATCTATACATATTTGACTTTATAATAAATAATATTAGACAAACTCTATAATTTAGCTTCAATATTTTATATATAATTCGTTAAAATCAATAGAAATTAAAAATTTAAAAAAACGTTTAAATGATAGGTTAAAATATTCGATTTGGCATTAATCATTGTTCGATAGATTTTTCGATAAAAAATCCACGTAATAATTATCCTGGTCGGCAGAATCTTCGTCGTCGTCGACGCCTGAAGATAAATCATCGAATTCGCAGTAGGCCTTGAAAAAATCGTTTTTCTCCCACGGAGATGACAATTTATCTGTATTATTCTTTATCGCCACCGGCGATTGTGATAATTTTACATAACGTCCTTCGACTAAACGACGAACAGCCGATCTCTTTAATTCCCTTTGAGTTTTATTTTGACGCGCAATCGGTTTTTTTACTTGTATGTAGAGTGACACTAAGTCCTCATCGCTCTGATCAACCATTTCGCTATCAGTTGAATCATCGGACCATTGGTCATCATCATCATCATCATCATCGGTGATATATAAGTGCGTGTTAGTCTGCTCTTCGTCATCTAAACACAATGAATGCACATGACAAGATTAAAAAATTCAGAGAATTAGCTTTCTTTCTAATATGCTAAGAATTTTTCAATATTTTATAAGAAAAACTAGGAAAAAAATCCAGTTGATTTAGATAAAGTAAATAATTTTTTTTTATTAAATGGGAAGTATAAAATAATATATACTCATTTATAAAGTATCTAAATCTTATACAAAAACTTAAAAAATAATTACATAAAATATTGTTTTGTAATAATACTTATTAAAAATATTTTTAATCGAATTATGATTTGAAACATTTGTTCCTTAAAAAAATTTTAAGTTAATAATTATGAGACATATAAATTATAAAAGTCCTTATTTTTAAATAAATGGAATTATTTTATTATATTTACAATAAAAAATCCTTTTTTTATTTTAATTCAAATTTATGCATTTTTTTTACGTCTCCTAATAACATTTTTCAATTGTAATATAATATTTTTTTTATATAAAATTTAAACCATTAAAAAAAAATGAGTTACTTAATGAACATTAATTTGCTTATTAAGTTCATTAAACTAAAAATCAGTTCAATTTCGATCGAAACGAATAACTATAAATGTTAATAATAAATTAATGTCATTCTTCATAATAGAAAATCAATTTGATTTTATAATATTCGACTAACTATTGAAAATATTATAAAAATGATGGTTTCGATTAACATAATGGCTTTGCATATTTTCATCGTAATCTTATGAGTAAATATTCGAGATTGTTATTTTTAATAATTACCTAAGCCCATCTTGTAAACAGAAAGAATGTTCGTGGCAAATTTTCTCGTTAAAACTGC